CTGTCTTCCTATTTTCTTACAGAATTTGCTAATATACACACTACAGGGTTTCTAAACACACTCCTCCTGCTTATATAGGGTCATTTTGAATTTATTATTTTTTGGTGTGTGTGTGTGTGTGTGTGTGTGTGTGAGAGAGAGAGAGAGAGAGAGAGAGAGGGAGAGAGAGAGAGAGAGAGCGCATTCCATAAGAAGCATGTGGAGACAGAAGAAAACCTGGAGATTCAGTTCTCCTTCCATTCAGGCAGTCAGGCTTACATGGCAAGTGCTTTACCACTTTACCAGGCCTTACACTGTTTTTCTTTAATATCATATGTTATTATATATTATATATTATGTTATTATATAATATTATATATATAGACTTTTGTTTTTCTTCTGTGACTTTTTAAAAGTTACTGAACATACCTTTGTAAAATGGGCCATCCCATTATGCATGTCCAAATTTTCTGAAACAATGAAAAATAATTGGTTTTACTTTCCCAAATGTTCTGTGAAATGTGTGAGTTTGCAAAACATAAATGAGTGTATTTTTCTTTATAAATGTAGTGATCACTGGGATTTAAGAAGGGAAACAAGTATCTTAGAGAAAAGGAATCCTTACTTTTATGTCAAATAAAGAGAATCAAAAGCTTGTCAGTTGTGAAAGCGAAAATGCAGCAGTTTGTAAGTGTGTGATCATTATGACTAATTAGATCGTGATTTCCAGGTTCATATGTTCCTGATTCCAAAGCTTCACTGAAGTCTTTCTTTGCTGCGATGCACTCTTGATATCTTTCGTTGTTACTTCTTTTTCTTGTCTAAAATTGAGTAAATAATTCATGACTCATCTAATAACAACAGAACATAGTTTTACCTAACAATGGAGTTGTTTTAAATTTCATTATAAACTTGCACTGAGTTCAGTCAAACTTTAAGATACCAACTTGGGGAGATAATCTTTCTTCGCCTTCATTGTACTCCACAGTTCCTAACAAAACTTTGGAAACAAGCAACTATTTTATAAGTGAGACTATTTCTCTAGTTAACTGGCAGGCAGATAATATCCCAGTTTCTGTAATATAAATATTGTATTCAAGTTAATAACCATAATGAGAATAAAAGAAAATGGTGGCGAGTTATTGCTTTATATTTGCAGTTTGCCCAGGCTGCATGACTGCTTACCTGTGAGTAACACACTTTTAGGGAAAGACACAAATTTTTACATGTAAAGAACTTGGCCGAGAAAAAGATTAGTGCAAATGTGGCATTTTTAGGGTGCAGGGATGAATGGGTGGATAGATAAACAGAGATTAATAATGCTTTGTGGACAGCAAGACGATATTTTTAATTTCCAAACCCTCATGCAATCGTATCACACATAGAGGTGCGTAGGCCTCATAATGGAGTGTCAGCTGCAGATACTTGGGCTTACTCAGGCTTAGCTTGTAAGCATTCACTAACCCTGTCCTGTTCTGGAACACTCTGCATCTTCTGTCTGTGTCTCGTCCCCTTTAGTAATCTCCATTGATGAATCCTGAGTTCTAAGTTTTACAAGCTCTAGTCAGGTCATACTCTGTCTTTAGTGATGTGATTAGTTGGTTAATGTAAGATTATAAAAACCTTAATAATGTAAGAGCTATGTGTGTTCTGCTTACCCTGTAAGTGCATTTCCTGGTACTGTGTCTGGAATAGAGCAGGTCTTCAATAAATAATGCTGGAATTCTGTGGTATTGGTTCTTAGACAGTGTGAACCCCAGGGAAAAGCAATGAGCAGCTTCTCCAGTGTATAAATTCAGCCACATCATAAGGAGAATGAAAGACACCATAAGGGTGTGAGAGAAGGAGAAAAGGCAAAAAGGAGGGAAAAAGAAGGGAACAAAACCAAAAGAAAGGCTAGTTAGAGATAGGAAGGCTCATTGTTGAAGACAATATTTATATATCTCATTGAATACGAAGAAGTCAAGCTGGTGGCTAGCTCGAGCCTTCGTCTCTCCTGACTAGTGTTGTTTATGGTACTGGAAGTTGTTCTCTATACTAGCAAAGGAGAAAAGTGCACTCCAACACACCTACAAACCCGTTGATCTACAACTGTGACCTGCCTGCATGGTGTGCTGGTGCACTTGGGGCACAGGAGTTGTACGAGTGAGCCAGCACTAAGTCATTGGCTGTGAGGCCCACTCATGCCCAACACTGCTCATGTCTAAGAATCTGAGACAAGATAGTCCATGACTCCCAGTGACATTCTGCTATGCCCATAGATCAGTGTCTCACTCAACTGTTACCAGGGAAGCTTCCACTAGCACTAGATGGAAACTAGTATGTAGAGCTACAGTTGGACAATGTACACAGGGTAATAGACCTTAGAACACTCAGTCCTAAATGGTATGTCTTCACCAAACCCTTCCACTCAGGGCTCAGGGAGCTTTATGGAAGAGGAGGCAGAAAGATGGTAAAAGCCAGGGGGGTGGGGAGTTTGCTCCTGGGAGTGTCAGAAGCTATACCCATAAAGTCTCACCAATATGGTTGCATAAATACCAACTCCCCATGTGAGGCCTTACCTTTATTTTAGAGGAGATAATTTGAGGTGGGGTTTGGGGGGTGGGGGGGGGGGGGGGGGGGGGGGGGGGAGGGTAGGGGGGTGGATGAAACTGAGGAAACAATGTTTTTGTGTTTTTATAGGTGGTGTGTGTGCTTGCACAAGTGTGTGTGCTCAAGTGTTTCTCATACTTTTGCTTTGTTTTGTTGTATTTTTACTTTTTTGATTTTTAAATTGCCTGTTTGCTTTCTTAAAAGAAAAAGAAAAACTTGGAATTGAAAGGGTCGAGAAATGGAGAGCATCTGATGGAGGGGAACCTGTCATCAGAATATCAAAATATAGTGTAGGAAAAATTATTTTCAATAAAAAAGAAAGGAGAGAGAGAGAGCAAGGGAGGGTTAGAGAGAGACAGAGACAGACACAGAGAGAGGAACATAGATTCTTATGTCTTCTTCCCACCCTTCTTCCATTCCAAATACTTTTCTACTGGAGTTCCTTTTGTAATTTGGATGGCACATGTCATCTGCAGAAGTTAGGTCTCCTTCCTTCAAGGAAGACTCAGCTAAATTCCTCATCTTGACTCAAAGTTACATTTTAAAAGTTTAAGTGCTAGCTTCTTTTTTTTTTTTTTTAAATCTCATCTGTATTTACCTTTTAAAGTAGAATATGACCGAGCACTATATTTCCATTCAGAAGACTTGATGGGTTACAAGACCTAGGGAAGCGTAGGGCTTTGTTCTTGGTACTTTGGAAAACAAGCCACATGGGGAATCCTGTTTTAGCTTGTGTTCTTCTAAGACTACAACATGCAGAATGACTACAGGGGATAAAAAATTTTAAGATGAAACTTAAGCCATCTTAATTTTTTTCCTTTTAAACATGAAGCTAAATCTCAGAATACTCCCAAGTGACAAATTATTTGGTTTACTAAGGAATCCAGCTAACTGCTAGCTTCTTAAGAAAGATCCTCTTGGGGTGTTAAAATAGATAGAATGGAGGCTGTAAAAAGATTCCCATGTCAAAGAAAGCAACTGCTCAAAGAACAACCCATCTCGCCGGGCGGTGGTGGCGCACACCTTTAATCCCAGCACTCGGAAGGCAGAGCCAGGCGGATCTCTGTTGAGTTCGAGGCCAGCCTGGGCTACCTAGTGAGTTCCAGGAAAGGCGCAAAGCTACACAGAGAAATCCTGTCTCGTAAAACCAAAAAACAAACAAACAAACAAAAAAAACCAACCCATCTCTTCCCCCAAGGCCAAGGCGGGGATATGGAGTCAGATGGAAGCCCTGGGATGAGTGCAGGTGGGAGCAGCCTCAGGCTATCCCGATCACCCGCATTGATGGGGTTTCATGGGGAAGCTGATCTAACTCCTCAAGCATTCCCTGTGCCTGTCCCACAGCTACTCTGCTCACCATTAAACAGACAGTTGAGGGAAGTGATCTGCCATTCTCCTGCAGGAGCCAGGGCTGCATTCCTGGGAGTAATTGTCAAAAAGAGTTTCAGTTCCTTCCAGGGAAATCTTCTACTACATCATCATCATCATCATCATCATCATCATCAACAACAACAACAACAACAGCAAAGAGGTTTCAGCATGGCTCCTCAGCCCCTGGGAGCCTCAAATGAAGGGGTATTTTGGTCCTGTAGAAACGCTTATAGGACTTAACTCTCTCTGCAAACAATCCCTGGGCAACAGGATTTCAGTACCACCCTGAGAGGGAGAACATTAGAAATTTCCTAAGAGCACAAGCTCTTCACCTGACCTTGAACCCTTCAGCAGTCTCACTCAAGACTAGACAGTCCCAAGCCAAGTTTCCCTAAATTGTTTAGTCTCTCAGCTCTTCTCTTCTACCAGCCTAAGCAAGGTGTGGCAAGAAGTCTGTTCTTTGCAGCCCAAGTCTCAGTTCATTCCTTAGACTTTGGAGAGAGCGGGGTCCTTTTCCTGCTCTTTTGTGATGTCTGTGTGGCCTGCAGTGTGGTCTCAGAGCTGGGATCTCTGTGTGACACAGGCAGTGGACCTGTTTGCTTATCTGAGCCCTGCCTTTACTGGGAAACTGACGTGGCAGCCTGGGTGGTAAGAGTGAAGCCCAAAGATCAGTAAGGATCTCCTGACTGGTGTTTGCTCTGCCTTCCGCTTGCTGTGAGCATAGCATTGCTCACGCCTCCCTGCCATGAGCTAACCTGTGCAAACAGAAAAGCATGACCCAGCCATTCTGTGGCCACCTTTACTAAATCATCTCTTCTAAAGTGTGTATGTATGTACAGAGTGAAGAGTAGGATAGACAGTGGCTGGCAGATTGCACAAGTTGCTTATTACTTGATATGAAGCATTACTAAATTGAATATAATGTGTGCAATGGCATTATGATAATTTGTCCAAAAGTTCTGTGGTTTGTAAATGAAATGTCCCCTGTTGAATCATGTATTGAGGGCTTGTCCTTAGTAAAGATGTGTTCAGAAGTGGAGTGTTGAGAAATGTGGGGACTGTGAGGACACGAACTTTATCAATGGGTTAATCCATCAATGAACTCACAGTTAGATGGGCTCTTAGGAGGAAGTAATCCATGGCTCCTTGTCTCGATCTGCTTTCTGGTCACATGATGTTCTGCCAGACCATAAGCAAAGCAGTGAACACAGTCAACCAAAGACTAAATTTTCAACAACCATGAACCTATATAAAGCTTTACTTCTTGTAATTGATATCTCAGTCAATTTATCACAGAGGGAAAAAATGGACTAGTGAAAATGTAAAGTACAGGCTTGCATAGTGTGTGTGTGTGTGTGTGTGTGTGTGTGTGTGTGTGTGTGTGTACATGTACAGTTAAAAATTCATATTGACCTTTAAAGCAAGCTAGAATGGCTCCTATGTCTTTTGACTATGATCAAATGTAAAGTTATATCAGTTATTTGATATTTCGAAAACTAACAGCAAATGGATATTTGATAAGCAATTTAAATAGACTTTTCTCCACTTAATGAGATTGAATTTCATTATCATATTAGTTTCAAACACTGCAATAATTCTAGGGCTATTTCCATTTAAGTAAATGATTCCCTGAGCCATCTGTGTCCCTTGAGGATTAAAGATGAATGGAGATCTCTACAACTTTCCATCAAAATCCATTAAGGGCCATGCAGCCTCCAGAGCTCCTGTTTCGTGTGACATTGGTTAATGTGCTTTCAGAGTTAAGTGCATATGCCACAGCCAAGCTCTAATTCGTGACAGAGAGATCACCTGCGTCAATTTTCATTTTCTTGCCTCTGCCTCTTTATCATGCAGTTCATTAGAACCTACACAGCTAATGTCTTTTTAATTGTCAGTGTTTTAATTGGGATTACAAATTAATCACTAAAGGGACATTTTGTTTTGATGAATTTTTTTCTATCTAAACATTTAGGTTGAGGAGCATTATCACTTCTGTCTGTGCCTCCCAGTTAAAACATTTTAGCTCATTTAGTCACTTCATGGGGTGCTTCTGGTGGTGTGGGTATGTCCACAAAACCGGAAAATCATTGATTAGAATTTATCGGAAATACAGTGTTTGAGATCATTCACTTCTCATTCTCTCTCAGGAAGGAGCACCGTTTTCAATCTGGAGACCCCTGGATAGAGCTGGATCTGATCTGCTTACAGAGGAAGCTTAGGAATCCTAGAGGGCCTTCAAAAATAGGGAGGGAGTGACTTAACTGACTGAACTCTAAGGGCTCGCTTGCTCGCTCCCAGTACTGTTTCCTGGCGGCTGATGCCTACAAAATTCTTCCTTTTGCTGACTCAGAACCTCAATAGTTTTTTTTTTTTCTCCATGAACAAGGAAAACATCCAAGAAGCACTTGAAGCTTGAAGATTTGATCAAGATGAAAACCTTCTGCTTTTACTGAGAAGAAAATGCTTTCCCTCTACATTCCAGCTGGATCTCTGCTTCAGAAAGAAGGTTCCCTGTGGCCTTCTTTCTTGACTGTGGACTTGCAGGCCCTCCCACCCTCTCTATTATTGTCCCCAGACTTATTTACACCCGAGGAGATAGTGGGATTCTCTTAGGCAGGCAGGACATGTTGCCAATTTGAGCCTTTTAAGTCAAAAAGATGTAGAGAGAGAGCATGATTACTTGGTTAAAAATGGACTTTTCAACTCCTATTTCTATGGCTCAGGAACCATGAACGAGGGAGTGAAAAGTTTGTATGAGCCAGAGGATCTCAGAGCTGGTTGTGAGATTGTGTCTCCCAGTAAACAAGCTACACCAAAACAATTCTCACCAACATGGCTGTCTAAACATGAGTTGAATAAGGACAACAAACATGCCGGCGGTGGGTGGGGGAAAGCCCATGAGGCCTGAACCTTACACAAAGAACTGCAGACAAATAAGGGATGTGAGAGTGGGAGAAACAGTCTTCCCCAGTGAAGAGCACACCACCTGGTCACTCACTTCCAAGTAACCAGCCCGTAAAACATGCATGGAAGTAACATTATACAAATTGCAGGTTATATTTAGGAATGTGTTATGTGTATTCACATACATATATCCATGTAACAGCAATTAATGAACAAAGAGGCCACGAATTTGAAAGAGAAAAAAAGGGGAGGCATATGGGAAACTTTGAAGGAAGGAAAGGGAAGGGGGTGATTATGTAATTATATTAAAATCCCCAAAATAAAATAAAAATAAACAAATTTGGCACAAATCAGCATTTGAGAACACATATTTGGAAATTTAGCAAGATTCCAGGTGCACACTAATCTTGTGTTTAATATCATTGTTTGAGTGTGGTTCAGGCATGTGCTGGATAAAAACTCCTTTAAAAAAACAAGAGACCAACAACATCGGGAACGGAAAAGATTTTCAACATCCTTATAATATTAGTCAGTAATACTTGCTGACAACTAGTAATGCTTAATTTAACTAAAGCTTCTGTATCCGTGTAACGGGCACTTTACAAACAGCATCTCAGATAACTATCAAAACAGTTTTGTGAGATAGGTATGTGGTTCAGAGCAGAAATCCTAACACCTAGTGAGGCAGGAGGAAGTGTGAACTCGAGGAGAACTGGGCTATATAATGAATTCCAGGGCTACAGAATGAGTTCCTGTCTTAAGGAAACCAAAAATCGAACAGAAATAAAACACCTGTTCTATGAGGTGAGTTCTATGCTGCTTGACGTGGGCTCAGATTTTCTTTCAGAGGTTACTATCCTATAGATTGACAGTACTCCAATTTTACAAAGGTGGGAAGGGAAGTTTTAATTAATGATTTTGAAGTATCTTTTCATTCCTGAGCTGCTCTAACTAAACATTAAAAACACTATACTTATATATGATATAAATATTAAAACACATGTATATGATCCATACACACATATTTTTAACTGTGTATGCATATATGGAGTAAAATGGTTGTTGTGAAAAGCTTTAAGTTCTGGGGAGTGAAGAGATGAAAGAATGACTTGGGCCCTCTGAGAAACAGCTTTGCAGATGTATGCCAGCATCACCCTTCCCTTTGCTTGGAAAGGATTCAGTTTTCTCAAAGCGTGGCATGGCCCTTTGATCTAGTTAGGGAGCCGGAGGGGGAGACATCAGGGAGGAATCCTGCACCTTCAGTGCTGACATTTGCGCAAACACAGGACTGAGGCGCGCCCTCGACCAAGGAAAACAGCCCTAGAGGAGGATGCGTCCTGAAGAACATTCGATGTGTTTTGGATTCATTAATTAATGTGACTGTCTCTTCTGCTTCCATAGATCTGAGATATGACAGAGCCCAAAGCTATTCAACTGCAGGGAATTTATTTCTTCACCCCAATTAGTTGGCTATTGTCTTCTGATAGCAGCAGACATTCCTAAATGAGTTTTGGTTGGGTTAATTACCTTCTTACTTCAAGATCTTATTGTTAGCTTCTGAGAACCTTTGTCTATCAGCTCAAATGTAAACTGAATAAATAAATAATGCTCTTTTAATTGCTGTGCTAAAAATAGGGAAGCATTGTTAGGGAATAGTTAAACTTCTTTTCTGTCTCTTCTACATTCTCTTCCGTTTTTTCCTTGAGTTAATCAAAACTTACACGGAATTCATTCCATATACTTTTAGAATAAGCATATTTTTCTAAGTGTGACTCTGGACAAAGCATTAGGGTCATCCTCATATGGCACTTTGCACTCTGGTTTTCAGCATGAGCCTGGGGATTGCATGTGTACTCATATGTTAGTTCTGTGTCTAACTAAAAGCTATGTGGAAAGTGCAAAAGCAAATACCTAAGTTTCACTTCAATAGCAACATTTCCAGAAAACTGTTGTACTTTCAGAGTCAGTTTTATTAGTGACTATGAAGCCACATTCACTGTAATGGGAAAACTAGTACACCTCGCGATGGACTTTACATTCTAACATTTTAAGTCACCGTGTCTGCAGTTAAGGGCATGCAAAAGCAGTGGATGAAGTGGGGTTAATCAGGTTGCCTTGGAGTCTAGAAGGACAAATTTGGTAATGGCTTTCAAGCACATGAGGCTGATCTCCATCTCCCCTGAGGTTAGAAAAGGAAAGAGGAGCCCTAAACCACAGCCTAAGAGGATTATACTGGATATGTAAGTAACCACGATAGTTCAGAAGTGGAAAAGTCCATAAAAATCCTCTAGTGTAACCCTCCTTTTCAGCGAGAAGAAAACTGAAGTCCACCATGGGGGGTTACTGTGCAAGTTCCAAAACCATGTGGGACTTGGATCAAAGGATTCCACCTGCTGTCAGTGGTGGCAGTTAGGTGTGGGGTGCCTTACCAAGAAGGATGTTGGGCTTTTCCTCTGACAATGACAAGATCTTTTAATAACGAACAAGTCACTTAGTTTCTAAGCTAGCCATGGAACCCTTTAAATATTTTTACATACTCCTTCTAAATGAGTAAAAGAAACTTTTATTTCCTCTTCTCTTGTGAATGAAAATTAATTTTCATGATACAATCATTCAGGAAATCTATATTGAGCATTGCATTCAGTAGTGTGCCAACGGAAAAAATACAGTAGTTTTTCCTCTAAGAAACATACATAGCAACTATAGCCAAATAATGGAGCAAACATTAAGGCGAAAGTTGGTTTTTTATTTAATTATTGTATTTAATTTGTTTGCTTGTGTATGCACATTCCTGTATGGGCATGGTTGTACATGCAGGTTCACATGCATAGATGTCCACAGACAGAGGACAGCTCTGGAGGACAGAGGTTGAAGCTGGTAGTTTCCTCAAGGACTCTCCACTTTATTTACTGAGGCAGGGCTTTCCATGGAACCTGGAGCTTATCAGTTTAACCAGTCTCTCTCTCTGCTTCTGCACTGGGATTGCAGGCATGCTTCTATGACCACTGGGAACTTGTGGGTGTTGAAGATCTAAACTCCAGTCCTTGTGCTTGTACAGAAATAGTTTTACCCACTGAGCTAGCTCCCCACCCAAGAAAACACTTAAGAAAATCTGCAAAGACACTGTAGCACATGTTTTATAAAACCCCATTCTTTTTTTTTTAATATTTATTTATTATGTATACAGTGTTCTGTCTGCATGTGTCCCTATAGGCCAGAAGAGGGCACCAGATATCATTACAGATGGTTGTGAGCCACCATGTGGTTGCTGGGAATTGAACTCAGGACCTTTGGAAGAACAGTCTGTGCTCTTAACCACTGAGCCATCTCTCCAGCCCCCTATAAAACCCCATTCTTAAAAAAGAGGACCATGCCTATTATTTTTTAATTATTTTTGAGACTGTATCTTACTTATCCTTGGCTGGCTTTGAAACTCTGATCCTCTCTCTTCCATCTCCCTAGCACCAGAATTACAGATATCTGTTAACACATCCAGTTCATTATTATTTCAAGTCTAAATTTTAATTTATTGAAGTGCCCAATGAAAGTTGAATGCATGTGTGTGCATGTGTGTTTGTGCCGTGGCACATGTGGTGAGCAGAGCACACACTGAGGGAGTCGGTTCTTTCCTCACACTCTGTGGGGCCCCAGGAGTCTTCGCCTGCTGAGCCATCTCACCAGCCCAAGTGGGTTAATCATTCAGGCTTAGGACAGTGTAGATAATGTGAGGTCATCTTGATCTCTACCTGAGCATTGACCTTAACTTGGAGAGTGAACAAACTGTATTGTGAGGTTTCTGAAGACAACTATATATAAAACAAAAGTGATAAGAAACAAGTGAAAAAGCTACTTCCTGACAAATTTAGAGAGGATTTGATGACCTCGGGTACTGTAGTGATAAAACACAGTTTTAAAAATGGAAATGAAAGAGGATGAAGGGTAAATAATTTAAACAACAGATTATGTGTACACTGCAAGAATCTCAGAATTGGACGGTGCTTAGAGGCACTCAGAATGGTCCAGCATTTGACATACCGTCGTAGGCTTCCCTACAACACAGCCTCTAACAAAACTAGGCTGTCTCGAACCCCTGGCAACAGGATTGTTTACCTTTATACCAAGAAGGTTGGGAAAGCACCTAAATCGGCATGCCGTGTGTGCCCAGGCAGGCTTCGAGGGGTTCGTGCTGTGAGACCGAAGTCCTTATGAGGTTGTCTAAGACCAAGAAGCATGTCAGCAGGGCCTAAGGTGGGTCCATGTGTGCCAAGTGTGTCTGCGACAGGATCAAGTGGGCTTTCCTTATTGAGGAGCAGAAAATTGTTGTGAAGGTGTTGAAGGCATAAGCACAGAGTCAGAAATTGAAATAAATATGCAGCTTTTTTTAAATAATAAAGGTCAAGCCTTGGTAAAAAAAAAAAAAAGAATCTCAGAATTTACTAATGGTCTTCAGTACTCTGTTAATGTTTTAGGGGACCGTGTGGTGCTGTAATCTATTTTTGATTCATCATTATAGTTGCTATAATAGGCCTGTAGATCTTAATATGACTGATGCCACGTCAGAGGCACCATTCTGACCTTAATAGCCAGCATGTAGGCCCCAACACCTGCCCAAACAGGATCAGTTCCTGCCATAGGGGCAGTGGAGTCCCTGAATCAAGAGTCCCTATACGCAGTCATTTTGCCTTTAGCTTCTTGCTAACTGAAGTGTGACAACCAGGATGAGGTTTCTGTGCATAGAAGACAGAGATCTGTAAAGGCTCAGGGCCGCGTGATTTGGACAAGGTCCCTATGAAGCAATCAGCTCGTAGTAAAGACTTTGTTTGGCTCTAGGAGTATGGGTGTGGTGGGCTCTGGTGGGCTTACCTCATAGTACTGTTTCGTTGTGATTGGCGGGAAAGGAGCAAGCTAAGACTCAGAGCAGCAGAGACTATTTGCTAAGTCAAGCAGAGCTTTGAGGGGGTTTCCCAGGAAAAGTGTGGCACCAGGTCCTGCTAGATGCAAGTAAAATCCAGACATTTAGACAAATGACTTAGTATATGTGCATGTCTTTGCATAGCAAATAAAAAATAGATCATACTAAGGTGGCTCCTTAGTTTCTGTTTGAGATGACTGAGTACACAGGAAACCTTCATTTCATTGTGGACACGTAGCTTTAGAAACTGATAATCTAGTGAATGCATTTGATAGATTGGTGCACATTGTATGTGGGCCTCTGATAAGAGTTTGTTTTGGAGATATGTTCTGTATTAGACTAGTAGGTGATAAAAAAATAATTATTCCTTCCTTTAAGAAGAATAGGAAGCTCAATATGAATGGTTGGAGAAAACACAAGTAAAAACTGGTTCATGACTTTGTCTTTGATAGAAATAAGATGTTGCAAACTGCTCACTGTCCTCTCCACGCGGCCATCCGTGATCTGGCCAGCACACTGCAGTAGAGTGCTGTGAGGGGTTCTGACAGCAACGGGAGGCAAGCTGAGTGTGCACGTGCGGGGTGAGCAAGCAGAGGGAGGGGAAGAAATGGAGATGGTGTGGGTCATGAGACAGGCACATGAAGCTGAGAGAAGGATTTCAGATCTTATCAGGAGGAGCTTGAAGCTACAAGAGAGAACTCTAACGGAGGGAGAGAAGCATGCTCTGAGAGGAAATCCAGTGTTGACTTGCATGGAATGCTCCTTTATTTTGATTTTTAAGTTTTTTTGTTTTGTTTTTGAAATTAAAAATCATATCATTTCTCCACTCCCTCCAACCAATTCTAAACATTTATACTTATACCCAACGATAAGCATAGGTCTCGTCTCTATGAATATAGAGACCATATAGTTTCTATGTCAGAGAAACTATACCCATGAAGTCTCATCAACGTGGCTGCATAATTAAGAACTAAATGAGAAGGTCGTCAACACGGCACAGCTGGAGACCCTGAGAGGAAACTCCCTCATGAGGGCCAGGACCCAGGAGCGTGACACCCCAGAGACCTAGGATAGAACCAAACATTAATAGCAAATACAAAGTCAGTTTATTGATTCCTAATGATATTTTGCTACACTCATAGATTGGGGATTAGCCCGATTGTCATCAGAGAGGCTTCACCAGCAACTGTTAGAAGCAGATGCAGACCCACAGCCTAACATTAGGCAGAGCTCAGGAAATCCTAAGAAGATGGGGAGGAAGGATTGTAGGCCTCAGTGGTGTCAAGGGCACCACAAGAAAACCCACAGAACAAGCTAACCTGGGCTCATAGGACCTTAAAGAGACTGAACCGACAACCAGGGAGCCTGCATGGGACTGACCTAGGCCATGTGTTGCAGTTGTGTGACCTGGTTTTCTTGGGGGGCTCCTAGCAGTGAGAGCAGGGGATGTCTCTGACTCTTTTACCGGCCTTTGGGACCCATTCTTCCTGCAGGATTATCACTTCCAACCGTGGTGGAGGAGCGGAGCTGCCTGGTCTCACCGAAGCTTGCTGATATCCATGAGATGCCTGCCTTTATCTGAAGAGAGACAGTGGAGGAGGAGTGGATGGGGCTGGGGGTAGGGGTGTGAGGGAACTGGGAAGAGGGGAGGGAGGAGAAGCTTTGGTTAGGATGTAAAAACAAGGGGAAAAAGGCCATTAACAGACATGTTAATGTGGAAGGAATCTATTGGAGCCTCAATTCTAGACAAGGAACTACAGAGAACTAAGACATGTTAAAAACAGGAGACATAGTCCTCAGACACACACACACACACACACACACACACACACACACACATGCGCGCGCGCACGCGCACACAAGCATATGTAACAACGATTAAAGAAATTGAGGCCATGAATTTGATAGAAAGGAAGATCTTCTATTTCAATAGGAAGAGAGAAGTCATGGGCCTAAATATAAACTTTCCATTTGGGGAGGAAATTGTGTTTTTCCGTCATGCTCATGTGGTCTGATGGACAAGAGAGGGCAAGGCAAACGGCTTATTATAGGAAACATGCATCTGGCGGTTCCTTCTTCCAGTCAGCTCACACTGCATTCATCTGGAAGTTACTCATAGTTAACCGATTGCTGAAAGGCGAGCTGGCTTTCTCACGTGAACAAAAGGACACAGGTGCACCTTCCAGAGCTATCACTGCTGCTCCCGATGCCACCCTGCCCTTCCCTCCATCCTTCGCAGATGTTGTTCATCCTTGCAGTCCAAGATCAATATCTACCCCTAATGTGAGGCGAAAGAAGGCAAGAAGGAGAAAGCGGAAAATAACAGCATCAATATCAAAGCAAACACCACCCGAGATGCCCTGTATCTTCTGACATTCGACCTCTGTACGCCTCTCAGAAGTCCCACTAGCCTGTCACCCTGTGGACACAGCTGTGCCACATGTTCAGCTGTGGGTGTAAGACAATTTGAAGAACGGATGATTTTTGACTTGTCCTGGGGCAATGACAAATAAGACCTGTGGTTCCTATATATCATGACAAAGCACAATTAAAGTAGTTGTGTCAGTTAATCAGTTATGAAATAAGGTATTTCGAGTAGAGAAGGGAAGAAAAGGACGTGACATAACTGTCCCCAAAGAAGGGTATATGTTATTTTAAAAAATTGAGTGGTGTTTGTTGTTTTTAGGAAAAATTTTTTTTGTGTGCTTTTCCAGGAAAATCAGAGTATATATATATGACAATTCTTGCTCAATCAACCTATAGCAGGGAGGATTAGAAATCTAGTTAACAAAAAAAAAAAAAAGAGGATGCTTTGGGTTCACTCCAGAAAAAGTGCTAGTTCAGTGCATTCTTATGTGGAGTACTTGGCAGAATTCATGTTCATACTCTTGAAAACCAAATCATTTAAATCCACATCAGTTAGCAGTGGCCTGCATAGAGTTATCTATTTTTGTATATCTTTTAGTGTAGTTCCACTTTTACATTTGTGATTAAAGAAGACAGTTACAGAAAATCTCCTTTGGCATTGTTTGTAACAACTGTGTGTATAATAATCTTAAAAAGAACCAGTGTGTCAGGAGGACAGAGTGTTCCGAGGCTCCAGATTCAAAATAGAGAATCAGCACTCTCAAATAAGAAGCTCAGGTTTTGCGTGTGTTATGGCTCCGGTTTCGCGTTTAAATGAGAAGTGCGAACAGGCGAGTCTCTGCGGCTGTATCGGCTTTGCCTGTCCTTTCTCCGCTCTTTCTCGTCTCTTTGTTTTGTCCGATTCCAATTTGTTTGTCTTTGTTTTGTCCTATTATTTTATTATTATCCTTTAGATGCCCGATTGTTTTCTAACTAGAGACAGAAAGGGAGTGGATCTGAATAGGAGGGGAGGTGGGGAGCAATTGGGGGAGTGGAAGGAGGCGAAACCTAATCAGAATGCATTGTATGAAAAACAAAATATCTATTTCAACAGAAGTAAAACAAGACAACACAAAACAAAAACTCAGCGAGATCTCGTATTCATCTTTTTGTTACACGTAGATAAGTGCAGGCAGCTGTGATATCACTTCAGCTTAGAAGTCATGTTTAAACTTGAAATTCAATGATTGCAACAATTCTCTGGAAGGCTAACAGGACGCGCCGCTTCACAGCAGCAAACCGCTACTACAAGCGGTGTTGACTTCCGCTCTCCTGTTTCAGGCCGGCACTGATGAAAACAGCGTCACTAGTATGAAATTCGTTTAAGAAATACAATGCCATATTTCAGTACAGTCTTACAACTTTAAAGGGTTAAGTGTAAACATCAATATTGCTAATCTCTCTGCGCTTTTTAAATTCGAAGCCCCCGTGCATATAAAAACGTCAAAACTGGATGAGCTTTGTTACCTGTTCCCTTAGATTTTGTCACCAGAATATGTATAACGATTCTGTCAGTCTCCACGTTCCCAATATGCTGCTTCACAAGCTCTCAATGTCAGTTTTAAAATTAGCTGAGAAAACACTAGTTCTCTTTAATAATCCGAGGTTCGTTACTGACATTTAGAAATATCTAAATCCATATTGTCTGGCCTTGCTTTGCTTGCTTTCTTGTTCTCTTTTATTTAAGAATAAGTCCCTGGAATCACAGAGAGACAGTCCAAATGCGTTCTGGCAGGATGTGTGTCCTCTGCCTATGTTTGCCGTTTCAGTCACGGCAGAGAAAACCCTTCATTTTTTTGCCACAAGCTCCCCAAACCCGACTTGGCTCTCATTTCATGGGTCACTCGGTGGAGGAAAGGGTAAACAGTAGTGAGGAGGAGTCATGTTGTCCAAGGTAAACTCCTTCCTGTTTTTAGAAAGAGACAAACCTGCCTTTCCTTCTTAGAGAGTGGATGTAGTCTGTAAGTCAGTCTGCATTCCGTTCTCCTGTTTAAGCCAAAGGTTTGCACAGGACTGTCACATGGAAAATCCAGCTTGCATTTTGATTGTCAGGTGAAAAAAAAATTACATTTTTTAATATTAAGGGGTTTAGTAAAGTATAGTAGAAAGACCAAAAATCTAAGGATTAAAAATGTTTTCATGAACAAAAAAAGGGGATATTTTTATAATTGTATTATGTGGTAAACAATTGGCCTTTGAAAAGATATGTAATGTAATAAGTACTAAGGATGATTTTTACTATGGGACACATACACCTAATTTAAAAATAATAAACTGTAGATACACGCACAGTGAACCTTGTTCTGCATATAAACATCACCCACCTTTGTGCTGGAGAGATTGCCCCCCAAATAAAGCATTTGCCTCACAGGCCTGGGGACTGATCCAAATCTCCGGACCTTTGTAAGGGTGGAAGGAGAGAACTGATTCTACTAAGTTGTCCCTTGTCTCCTACACACATGCTGTGGAGCATACACAAATATACACATCATACACACTTACAGACAATAAAAGAACAATTAAACATTACCCACCTCATTCTTATCTATATATTTTTCATATAAATTTACAGAGAATTTTTAAATTCTTATCTTTCTTGGATTTCTTTAAGCATATACAAGTAAAAATACATAGGTATTTTTTATCTCCTTCTGGTTACACAAAATGTGGCATGCATGTTGTTTTTATAGTGTACATCCTACGTTTGTTTGTTTTTGGCTGCTGTTGTTTTCAGGTGATAGTGTTTCTTCAGTCTTGGACTCAGCTGCTTGCCCAGGCTTTGGGAGGGTATGGGCTGCCTTTAATGGGTCTGCTGGGCTGTTGCATCATTTTTTGTTTTGCCATGTGATTCCTGACTACTTTGGTGTGAAAGGAACAGTGCACATAATATAGCTTCACCTACAGCTTGGGAAGTGTGCAGGGCATGTTCCTGCTGGGCTTGGGATGTTGTGGTCTATTGCCATAACAATTGCTCATTTACATTTCCTTATGTATTTGTTTGCTTGCTTACTCACCTGTTTGTTTGTGACATCTTTAAAGTGAAGACTCTGACATACTGTTTGGAACACTGATTGTTTTGTCTCCTAAGGGTATATGTCACTGAAAGGCTTTGTTATGGAACTCAGTGGAAAGTTGTTAAGTACATAATTTGGTTCTCTGGCTCCAAAGGAGTGAAACCAGTATTGTCCCCAAGCCATGAATGGAGATGGTGTTGAAATGATGGGTCCATGGGAATAAACTCATTTATTACTCCTGAGTTTAAGGAAAGGTGAGGCATCGGTAGATTTTTTTACTGGCCTGTGGTATAATCATAAAAGTTAAGCTCTAACAAATATTACTATTAGCTAAATAATAATAAATGTACATTTAACTGTTATTTTTATTACTTTCATAAGTATGATTTAATAAACAAGTAATTTCTATGACTTTCTGAAAATTACTTCATGTAAAATAAGATCATGAGAAAGGTTTACAATAGCGTATCTTGTAGAATGGCTATCTGTGACACTGAAAATCAACTTCTGGTGTCGGAATATGTCCTCTAAAATTCATGTGCAGAAGGGCCTAGTCCCAGTGCAGCATTGGTGGAAGGAAGGGCCTGTGCTGGCAAGTTTTTATGTCAAGTTGACATGAGCTGCCTTCATCTGGGAAGAAGGAATCTTAATGGAGAAATGTCTCCATAGGATTGGTCTGTAGGCAAGTCTGTAGAACCTTTTGTTGACTGATAATTGAAGTGGGAAGGCCTAGCTCACTGAAGGCTTTACCACTCCTGGGCAAGTGGTCCTGGCTGCTGTAAGAAAGCCGGAAGACAAAGCCATGGGGAGCAAGCCAGTGAACAGCATTCCTTCCCAGCCTCTGCTTCAGCTTCTGCCTCCTACCTATAGGTTTCTGCTCTGACTTCTTGTGATGATGGACTATACTGTGGAAGTACAAGCAAAATAATCCTTCTCCCCCACAAGTTGCTTTTGGTCACAGTATTTTATCACAGCAATAAAAACCTAATAGGACAGGGTTTACTGGGAAATGCTTAGGTGTTATGAATATTATGAGTACTATTAGATATTATGAGTATTATGAGAAATGCTTGGGTAAATGAGTAGATGAATGCCATACTTGAAAGTGCGGCCTTCTCTGCAGCCACATGAGGACATGTGCCTTGGACACAGCCTTGCTCCTTCTCATTTGTACCCAGGATACTATAATAAGTATAATAAGAAAAACTGAGATTGATACTGGCTCCTTGATTACAGACTTCCCAGTATCCATAACAGTGAGAAATAAAGTTATATGCTTTATATGTTAACCACTTACATGAATTTTCTTGGGGTGATAGAAACAAACCTGTATCTGTTGCAGGTAGGATATCCATAACAGAACAAGTAAATAATTAT